CCGTCATTTCCTACAAACACCTTCCAGCAAGGGAATGGCAACTGTAAGTCGTGACTGAGCCCTGATACATTAATTACTGACTAAAACTATTTGCTCGGCGTTGTAGAAGAAGGAGAAATCGCAGAAGAGTTGACAGCTAGCTATGTGTTATCTAGGTTTCTATTGACATGTATCCAGCCCTAGCTTATATATCCATGATAAAAACTCTCCTTTGCCTGCCAAGTACCTAGGCGGGTTCGAGCCATGTCAGCCTAAATGTCGTCAAGCAAAACCTTCCTATTATGAGTTAGCTTAATAGTATCTTTCCGCCTAGTCTCTAAAAATACTAACATCCTTGCCCCTGCTTTCTTTGCCTCCTCCTCGGACTAGAGTGAAGTGTCTTATTAGTGATCCGCAAAGTAATGGATTTGGAATAAATAGTATCTTTTACCTGCTGCTGTACTTTCCCCTCCTACAAATTTATTAGCAAGTGTTTTACTTGTATTTGTAATATTACTTACAAGGGGAAGTAAACAGTGTACGTAAGGATCTCCCTATATAAGGATATTAGTAATCTTTTCAACATATCAGGTAGTTGTATATTAAACTCCGTCTCACCGTATAAGGAGTAACATATTTGCAACTCTTTGCCCAAAATCGGGTTTGTTTCGCTACTACTCCCGAAAAAGTAGCAATAAGCGTAATAAAAACAGGCGCAGCTAAGAGCTTCATATTGACCGAGTATTAAATGTTGAGCGTTGGAAAAGTTAGAAAACCTCTGAAAATAGGGTTTATTTGTGAAGATGGTGTAAGTGGTGCAGTAATGATCACATTCTGTAGGCTACTGGGCTATATTTATCAGAAGGGACTCGGTGGCGAATTTGGTTTACGCTATAGCGTTATTGGAAGGCCTGGATTCTGCAAAGCTAGCTGAATAGCCTAGAATGACATACGATGCGGCATTAATACAACTACATGCCTCTTTCGTATAGACCTTGGGTAGGCAGTTTGCGAATGATTCATGCATGTTCGGAGTAGGAAGCTATCAAGGCACGGGCCGGACTTGGAATCCAAGACCTTGTTGAGGCCTTGGGCTTCCAGGCTCGCTTGCTCACCGCTGTTTGATATACATTAGAACTATCCGCCCGTCGAGGTCTTGGGAAATCCAAGGGCCTTTGATATTCAAGCGAATCGTTAGCTGAATGCGAATCTGTTCCAAGCCCTCGAAAGCCCTTGTTACACTGAAACGTGCCAAAAATGAAAGAACTAGGCATCTCCACAAGAACCAAGTAGCACATTGGCATATCCCTGTATAATGCTGAAAGGCAAATCGTACTTGCAATCGACAAACCAAGCATAAAAATGACGTAGGATGTGGGGAGCAGGCTTCGCGCTAGAATGGTTTGAAGTTTTTAACTTTAAGGCATAAACATGTGATTGAGGCTATCATGCTACGTATTGAAATAAAGCTCTTGACCCGAAACCTGACGTCAACCAGCCAGGTCATCTAGTCAGTCACCGAGTCATTGAGCCGCCGATTTCAGCTGCCCAAGTGTGTTGCCCCGGTGCCACGTGCCGATGATTGATGGTTCATCGGTACCGTGGCCACTACACGGCGTAACAAGGGAGAGGCGTTGCTCGGGCTTCCAAACCTCCGCCGCCCTCACGCTGGCGCGGCCATGGCACCTCACTTGATGAATGTCATTCAGAAGTCCGGCCTTGCCAACAGGCTCGGCTATTTCACCTGCGACAATGATACAAAGAACGACACCTGCCTCCGGAAACTCGCCGAAGAGCTGTTGCGAGAATACGGCGTTGTAGAGTCCACAATCTGACACATCCCCGCGTCTGTCTGTTCCGTCGCAAACTCTCACCATCCAGAATGGTGCGTGAAGAGCTCGAAGCCGGCGCTGTGGAACGGCGCAATACGAGGGCTGAATTTTACTGTCCGATATTGGCTGTCAGAAGGAATAATGGCGCCTGCAAATGTCACTTCCGAAAAAAGCAACAACTCCTGGGCCTTCTAAAGTGTAAAGGTCACCTATTCGCTCCCTCACAGGATGGATTGCCAGTCATCCAACTCCAACTGATCCTAGGTTCCGGTTGGTTGGATCCAACCAATCCTTTCTTTGAAAATTTCCAATCGATCCAATCTAGGGGTCGAGTTGGTTGAGTTGGTTGGAAGGACACCCTTGTCTCACAACGTGACAATATGCTCACTGTACCCACAAACTTGTATCCCTCCTTTACGATACAATGTTGTAATACTGTTCCATTACTTGATAATGCAGACAAAACAGCCAATACAGTTTAACTTTATTTTAGACCACAGCTCAAGACTAGATGCTTGAACGATTGTCATGCCCGACGCTGTGGACTCCATGGGAATGCAGATCAAACCGGCCATTGTCACGTTATGAGACTCATGTTAACTAAGCTTCTTCATAAAATGATTATTCTTGTTGTTGAAAAATCTGCAGTCTCTTGTTAATACCAAAAAAAACTTCCTTTCGTCCGAATTTAACTTTCGGCTAAGTTGAGTCATGATAGCCGACGTTGTGACAACCAGTCATTACGCCAAGCTCTGTGCTTCAGTCTACAGAGGCATTATCCGACACCTACGGAGCAACTTTAGCGCAGTGACATGTATCAAATGTTGGCGGATACATATTTTCATGTGTGATAGTACAGGCTGCAGCACTGGCACTTCGGTTGTAGTCGTTGGTTAGGTCCATGCCAGGTTCCATACTGTCGCGATGTAAATCGCTTACGGGCTCAAGCCTAGTTGCCCCTAACAACACCTTCCCCTGTAGAGGTGCACGTGACTAAGATTGCAGCACCTCCTTTCCTATTGATAGCTTCAAGCTCTAGATAGACAACAACAAGAACAAGAAGAACAATGATCATATGACTACTGCAGTAGCTAGTGATTACCGCCTATATCATGGGCCATATGGGCAGGCTTTCATTCTTACTACTAGGGGGTCAATAGTCATTCCGCTTACTCCGCACGGATTATAGGACAAAAATAACGCAAAAAGGTTGCGCAGCGCGGAAGCCGCCTTTAATTCGCCGGCATCTAATGCTCTACATCATCCGTGCCCCCGCTTTGTTTTATTTCGCCGCCCCTCCCTTTGTCTTTAACCAAGGC